AGAAACAGGGTAATAAGATGCTTAGAAGCAGGGTAAGAATTGTTTAATTAGATGACACGGTCATTTTACTGCAAAAAAGGACTGTGGAGGGCTGCTTTTACTGATGCCGAATTTGGGTAAATGGGGTGAGAACGAGAGTAAGCGAAAAGCTAACAAAACTAGAAGACTGAAATTTTAAGGCGATGTTCCCGGTCCACGTAGAACCTAATGATTGCAAGTCTAGCACCAGCTATGCGTGATCCTCACTTATGGACTTATGAAAATTTTGGCGGGTCCGGCCACAAACCTCGCATTCGCTCTCTGCACCTTGGAGGATTGTAAGATTTGTGGCTGGATGCATCAAAATGTTAATTCGTAGTCTGATTCTCCCTTCCTGCAGCTGGCGATTTTTCCGGTTACTTTGACCAGTGCTGTGTCCTGTGACTGCTGGTCAGCCTCCTAAGATTTGTTCCGTCTCGAGGAAGAATTACCAACTTCTTATTTCTCCTTTTAAAAGTGCATAACGGGAACTTTAGCTGTTTTTGAGATTTTTTCGTCTGTATTTGAGGTTCTTAGTTTTTTTAAGCATTTCCCTTTGACTCGAATATTCTCGTTGAAAGATATGTCAGAATGTCTTAGGGTTCCTTTGGGCTTAAAATCATGAAAAAAAAAACCATGAAGAATCGTTCCCTAGTTTAGTCGTTGTTCTTTGATTTAATCATCGTTGTGTTTCTTTGGTTTAATAGGTTTTTGATTAAATTATTGATACCAATGTGTATGTTTTAAAATCCTTTATGAGTCTAATTTTTATTCTTTTAAGTTACAATCACAGCAGATCCCAAGCAGCTCACAGCAACAACACCCAGGAATATCAGTTTCACCTCTTCCAGCCAGTGTCACGGCATCGCATGTTGTACAAATAGGTATTATTGCTACTGCTTGGCTTTACTAGTATTTCAGCTTTTTACTTTCTGTATTACTCATCTCGTTAATCCTAGGTAGCCAGTTCGGCTTCCTGTCTTGTCTGATTCCTGAAATCATCATCCTTTCACATTTTTGTGTATGGGTTCGGAAATTTATGATCACGTTGATCTGGGATTAACGTATAGACCAACAGCATCTTCGTAAAATTTCAGCTTCCTAGCTTCTGTGGTTGTAGAGTTGAAAGTGATTGATAAAATGCAAATTACTGGCACACGCAACCTCTCATCAGTGTGCGTTTTTTTGCAATAATTGATAACCAAAAAAAAGAGTATGTATTGGTTAGATGAGATTTCTGAATCACACTTAGCTGGTATGATCTTTTTTTTTTGTTTTTTGCTTATTTCTTTTACTTATAATTACTGTGGTTTCAGGACTGCAACAGTCTCCCTCAGTAATGATACGGCAGCAACCTCAAACCCAACTGGGGCAGCAGCGATACGTGACACAGGATGTTTCGGTGGTGCAGGCCCCACATTATGCAGTACTGTCGAGTCAGTCACGGCAGCACGAAGAGCACGATGCCGATCTCGCATTTGCGAATTCAATCGCAAATCATTTGTCGAGGTTGAATGAAGATGAGGTTTGTCAAAATGCTTTCAAGATTTTTGCCCTTTTTATAATGTTTTGGTTAGCTGTAGTTCAAAGTCTAACTTTTGTTCTTGATGAAAGTCCTTTTTTTTCCTTTCATCTTCGCTGCTGTGGCTCATAGGGTTTTCATCGTGCTCGGTTCTAAATTGGACGCATCCGCATAAACTCGATGTAATCGCTAAGCTAATTCTTTCACCGTCAGAGAATACCATAATTCACCAAAAAGGTTTTTACAGCACTGAGAATACCAAGACCGTTCGGGCACTTGGTGTGGATATTTTATGTTAGTGGTGTTACTAAGCGCGTGGAAAGTTTGCAAAAAAAAGCCGGCTAAGAAGCCCTCACAAAGAAAAAAGGGAATAAAAAAAATGAGGTATCTTGCTTTGAAAGCCAGACACACAGCAAATGTGCTGCCAGGTTGAACATGGAGCGCAAAGACCGGTGGTGTAATGGTAACATATATTGCGTTCGGACGTGAAAAGGGCTGGTTCGATTCCCTCCTGGTCCAGGACGGTTTTTGAAAAAGGGTCCCGTTCATGACACTGGGCCAGCTGTGGGAGTATGCGCCAGCTAGTCGCTAGGCCTTTCGATACAGCTTTGCACATCTCTAGTTACCGCGTGCCTGAGTGCACCACTTTTTTGAAATCCTCTTGACCGGTCATTTATGGGTATATTTTGAAATTCAGAAAGCGGTAGCAAAAATGAATATACAACGAATATTGATGGATGCACGATTTGGCATTGGTGCATGTGCTCGAATGATCCAGGAACATGCGCTAACGGAAGCAGCAGCAGTTGCAGTTAGTACTGCTGCACCGCATGATGTCTCAGCGCAGCAGCAGCAGCAGCAACAGCAGCATCTCGATGGATCTTCGCGACGATTGACTTAGAGAATTTATCATTTCATTCACCTTC